AATGTACAGCGTGGCAACCAGTCATTGTATAAATAAATCTTTATACAATGCAACCGGCGTAAGTATATAATATATACATATGCACTTATTTATAGATGCATAAACTGAAAGAAATAAACGGCGAGTTCCTACCAACAAAGTATATGTTTTGTAAGTACCGGGTGCTTAGTATGAAACATTTCAGCTCGGACACAAATCACTGTTATGTGAATATATGACAAGTAACGCCTAAATTTATGCTATACTTGTGAGGAATGTTGCTGATAAAATGTGTGGGACAGTTGCTGCACTATTCTGGTCGCCTGGTAAAATGCAAGTTTACTGATTTAGAATTTCAACAATTTGCGGTTTGCGATTTACATGGCGGATTTTAGGGGTATGTCGTGCATGTATGCGAAATGAAAATGTGGGTGAATTAAGGAATTTTTGAACGGAAATGCGAGTGGAATGGAAATGGAGGAAGTAAATAAATAGAATGGAATAAAATGTTATTTAACACTAGAACTACGAAACGGTAAAAACCGATTTACTTATATATACCATTTGCTCTTGATTCCTATATAATATTTTACGATAATGTTAGGATTTTTATTAAATTTGTGTATAGAATAATAAATCTCTCTATATATATATCTATACATAAATACATAATTGCTTTGTATATATGAAATTGAAGGCTTTAAACATGTAAATATATGCTTTAACGTAATTTGCTTAATCGTTTAAGGCAAATTGTTGCAAATAACTGTTGAATTGTAAATTTCATTTCACTGCTGCGTTTGTTAATCCTCGCTTATTTTCTAAAATTATAAACAAATTGTAATTATGTAACTACAATGTATGTGTATATATATATATATAAGTGTGTGTCGTAAAACGGTTGATTGGTTAGCAGCGGTGATATGTAGCTTGTTGTTGTTATACAAGTATATACAACTTTTGTTCTTGGAACTTTTTCAAAGTGTTGACATACAAAAATACAAAATTTTCATGTATGCGATTTACTGTAACTAAAGAAACAACGTGTGTGTGTTGTGAATAATTTACTTTTTGCTGCTGAAGACAAAACTGCGGAATATATTTTTTTTTTTAATTTGTTTGTTGCGAAAATTGTGCGCTAGCATATGAAAAAAATTTACAAACATTTTCTGCAAAAATTTACAAGTTTTTTTTTTTGCAAAAATGTGCAATTTTTCTGTTTAAAAATTTACATTAATTATAATTTCTTCGTGTAAGCAACCAAATACTTGCTCACTAAGGCAACTTTGGGCGGCGGGAATGTGTGGATTTCGGAATGGGTGCGTGTGAGCGAATGAGTGCAGTGCGCTGCTGCGTGGTAAGCGGTCAATTTCCGGTATGAATGATTGTACTTTTGGCATATGAGTTGCAAGTGTCGATATTTAAACATATACATATATATATATGGTGCTTATTTCACTAAATTAAAATTACAAATAATATTATGCATAATACAAATGGTGGCGTGGCGTATACGTAACATTTTCATATTCATTTTCAATACAAGTGCGTGCATACATACTTATATGCAAGTATGTATGTAATGTATATAGCTCATTCCGCTGATAAATATTAAAATAAGCAAAATTAAACAAAAACAAAAATCAAAAATGTCCGTTGTCATTTGCAAGCACATGCATTTCGAGGCACATGCATATGCTTGTATGTATGTATGTATTGCTGTGGTTGTGTGCCTCACATAGCTGCTTTTTATTGCTGTACTCATTTTACAGCTACATATTTATGCGGCATGGTTTAGAAATCATACGAATGATCTTCATCATCGCCCTTGCGCACCTTAAAGACAAATCGGTAAATGATGGCGGCCACAACGGCACCGGCAAGCGGTCCCACCCAGTAAGCCCAATGATCCGTCCATACATTTTGAATGACAGCTGGACCAAAGGAACGTGCCGGATTCATGCTGGAGCCAGTCAATTTGACCTGTGAGTTAAAAAAAAATTAAAATAAATAAATAAATATGAAAATTTTAATGTTTGCCCTTAATAAAGTCTATTCTTTCTACTTACAGCACACAAGTGTCCAGCCGTGATGGAGAGACCAATAGCTAATGGCGCCGAGCCCTTGATGTCTGTGCGTCCGGGATCGCACACAGCTTTGACCACGAACACAAGCAAAAAGGTGATCAAAGCCTCAATGAGTACTACGCGTCCAGCATCGAGTGTGCTGGCATATAAGGAAACACCCAGATTGGCACCGGCTACTTCCTCGGTTACCGCAGCCTAACAAAATAATAATAAAAAATCAATATCACTTATATTTTTCGTTAATTTATATGGCTTTTATTTACAGTTATCACCGCTGCTCCGGCTATGGCGCCAATTAGCTGCACAATGATGTAGAGCACACTCTTCAGAATGCTCATCTCACCAACAACGAGAAAGCCGACAGTTACGGCTGGATTAATGTGACAACCGCTGATATGACCCAGACCCTGTAAGGAGAAAAAAATTATAAATTATTAGTTATTTGAAAGATTATTAAAATTAGGTTAGGTTACAGTATTGTACTAGAGTATTACTTTAATGGGTCCACGCTGAGGCATGTTAGATGAAGTAAATAAAAAACGTTAGCTTCGGTTACAACGAAGCTATAATACCCTTCACAAATAAAAAAGTTTTCCATACAAGAACGATATTGCGATCGATCAGTTTGTATAGCAGCTATATGCTATAGTGACCCGATCTGAACAATTTGTTCGGAAATTGTATCGTTGGCTTGAACAATAATACGTGCTAAATTTCATGCTGATATCTTTACAAATATAATATAAAAAGATTTCCATACAAGGACTTGATACTGATTGATCAGTTTTTATGACAGCAATAGTGGTCCGATAACGGTGGTTCTGACAAATGAGTAGCTTCTTGGGGAGAAAAGGACGTAGGCAAAATTGCGAAACGATATCTCAAACTGGCTGACTAGTTCGAGTATAAACAGACGGACATGGCCAAATCGACTCAGCTCGGTACGCTAATCATTTATATATACATACATATACATATATATATATTATTTAATTGGTATATATTTGGAGAGGTCACCGACGGTTTCTTCTGGGCGTTAGAAACTTCGTGGCAAAATTTAATATAACATTTTCAGGATATAATAAACGTGTGGAAGGGGAGTCAAATACTTCGTAGGTTAAGGATTTCAAGGCTACTTTCGAAAGCTACTCGTTGTTATTCAAAGAGTTTATGCTCAGTTGAATCTGGTCATCTTTCTGTTTATTCTACCTTATGATGTTCATAAACACTAAAGAATTTGGCTTGATGAGACTAGTTAATCTCAGAAGCGCTACATATAAAAGTACGAAAGCAGATTTATGTATATATATCAAGCCAAAAGCTGTGGTGACGGCGTTTTTCCAAAATTTTGGACAATACACAATAACAACACCAATTTATTCAGTGCTTGGTGGGATAACAGACAGAACTTAACCTGATCAAGTTTTCGTCAGAGGGCTTTCGCGACGCTATAGATCAGAAGTTTAAAAATTACGTCAGTGCAAAAGAATACCATCTTTTAGCTATCAAACGTAACCATGCTTCTGGAATACTGTTACTGAATTCATGGTTTCTTCTTGACCTACAACGTCAACTGTGTGAGTATGCATCGTTGACGCAATCTTCAAGTAAATATCGATCACAGGAGATCCTCAACGTCTTTGAAGGTAACAACTTCACTGGAAATATACTAAAATTAAATAAATCGATATCTCAAATAATTTTTGAGTTACAGCTTTTTAAGATGCATCCGGTTTAATTTTTTTTTTTTAAAAAACTACATATTCTTAAAATATGTATAGATATGCACTTAAAATTTTAAGAAAATGGATACAGTATATATATTTATTTTTTAATACCCAAAAACTACCTTATTTACGCTGCAACACCAGTTGTGCCCCTTAAAAGCTCTCCCTTCCCACGTTTAAGTATTTATAATAACTCAAATAAGTAATCACTGTAAGCAAACACGCGTGATTTAAAAAATAAATTGTTTGCTTATTAGTAGAGTCTAGTCTTAACTCAAAATACTACAATAACCCCCTTAGTACACTGAGTACAACACAACGGTATAATTAAAATGGTGTTGCTGTCCCATTACAATAAGTATACACTTTAAGAAGGATTACCCGAAAATATATCTTTAAGTGCTTTGTTTTCGGTTATTATATGTTTTGACTTAAGTTACGCTTCTAATATACAAGTTTTACATATGTTCACTCAATTATATATACATGTATGTATGCATAGTACTTTATACACATACGTAAGTCGCCATATGTCTAAAAAAAAATTTTGTACAAGATAGTTGTTGAAATTCAATTGTGCTGAAATTTGCATTGCTAAATTGTGTTTTAGGTGCGCGCATGCGCAGTCATTCTGTGCAAATTAAATTATTCCTTCACTGCTGCACAATGCCTTGAAATGTGTGTGAAATCGAGGCATAATAAATAATGCGCTCTCACTTATGCGCGTACGCAAGTGTCTTTTATAGCAAAAAGGAGCAAAGAAAATGAATTCTTTGAAAATTTATTGAAAGTCATTGCGCATGCCTGCGTATATTTCTTTCGTTTAAAGTTCATCGCATATAATGACACAATTTGTCAGAGATTTAAATAAATGTTAAGACAGTTACAAGTGATAAGTTGCCTGTAAATAGTTTGTGCCAAGAAGGTATCGAGACACTGTGGTGTGTTGAGTAGTTCATGACTGTGAGAAAATTATTGCGAGTCTTTTTAGACAGTATTTATAGTTTGGTTCGAGAACTTATGGGTTAGAGATGGATAAATACAGTGGATACAAGTTTTCGGAATTTTTGAGTAAACCAATCGACCGGGTTCAAATATGATCAAAAATTTACTTTCTTGTCGAAAATATTTTAATCGATAAGAAGTTATTAATAGTAGTTAAATTTATTAATTGTCATCAATTAAGCGGGCGAAATTTGTAAGTATTTGTTTGATAATAACGAGGTCTTATAATACAAAGGCGTTCCAAACATAGAAAGGTTTAAAAAAGTATGGAAGAAATAAAGTGAGTTTTGATTATTTTAATTAGCAGAATTACAGATAATTAGCATTGGTTCCAGTATAGTAGCGATAGTAGGAATAAATATATTCCCACAGTACCTATATGATCTAAAGAGGCCATAAACACTCAAATAAAAGAGTTCTAAGTTATATAGTACAATGCTAGTATAGCTTCAAAGTCGTTTCTTGAACAGTATCCCAACTGCCTATCCGTTTTATAGTAATAGCTTTCCAACAGCTATAATTTAAGGAGTGTCGAAACGAACAACTAACTGGTATACATCAAATAGATTGGTATAAACTTTTACATATATAATAGCAAGCAAATATACCGCTCAACTATAGCATCTGCATACCATACAGAGAGTGGCTGGAAAGTTCGTATTTACACCGCGGCGCTCGCTACGGCTGGGTATGCAGTATGCTACTGGCACAATCGATCAGCTGTTTAGAATTGTTGAAACACTTCGTAAGTACCTTTTAGACTCTAAATATCTCTGCAGGTTACTTATGTATTATATACATATATTTAAACAAGAATAATATGACGCATGCATTTATACTGCATCAACACTTGACATCTACAATGCAATGATTTTTAAAACCTCATTCGCCGATTATGCGTTGTTGAAACTGAAAGTGATTATTTGCGAAAAAATTAAAAAGGCAAATCAGCGATTAAATTTGAATATGTACTTGTACATTTAGTTGATTATCGATGACTTAACATAAGTTGTTTGTTATTGTATTAGTATATAAAGAATGTGCTGAAGGCTTTACGCCACAGGTGAATTAAATATAAGGTAGATGCGTGAGTAAGAGGTAGCACTTTTAAGATGCTTATATGCTAGTAAGTTGAGTTCTTTTAAAAACTGAAACCACAATTATGCTATTTTGAACAAATATGTTACTAATTTTGATAAAGACCTTTCTAAAAGCAGACATTTATTTCTTCAAAGTGGCATAATTGTTATTTGACTAAACTCTTCAAACTATAAAGATGCATATTCCTTCTCAAAGGGAAAGGTTAACATCGAAAGACATAAACTTAACTACTAGTAATCTAAAGATATCGATTCAAAGTAGAAATATGTAAAAAAAATACAACGATAGATTGGTCTTTTCTCTGCTAGGTACATATGTTTTAGCTGTACGCTGTTTTGAAAAGAAAAAAAATTCATGGAAAAGCTATAACCCTTTCACCTAGTTGAGTGGAGAGGTAACCACATAACTTACTAAAATGGTATAATCGCTTGTTATTTGTTATGCTAATATAACTGATTATACAAGTTGTTTGTTCGATTCGCCATCCTTTGAAGTTTGGCAAATTTAAAGCAGATTTTTTATTGGCATAAATTAAAGTAATGGACTCAATACAAAAATTCTTAGAAAAATATCTTTTTGTAAAGAGTAGGTACATAGGTAACTCACATATGAATATCTGTATAAAAAAACCACTTTTAAAAACATTTAGACTTTTCTTAGACAATATACATATATATTGAAGATAAATAAAGCATTCAAAACTTCTACTTCAAATCAGTTAAATTATGTGATTTATTTTGTAAACTTCTAACTGAGATTTTGAAGGAGTCTCATTGAGTATTTATTATATATATTATATATATTATTATAAACATTAATATCATTATATAAAATCTTTAATTCGAGATAGCGTCACTTTGAGACTAATAACAAGAAAACGATTGAACGAAATATCATTAAACTTTTACAGTACTTTTACAGGTTAAGGTTACTACTCTAAGGCAAGGTAGAGAATTCTTGTTTGTGGCGTGATCTTTCGCTTATGTCAAAGTTGTTTCATTCGATGTAGTAAATAATAAATTATTAAAATACAACCCTGTATCGAATTTAAGTTGCGTCTATAAATTTTAAGGCTTATTTCGCATTTCTAGCGACAAATAAACAGGTAGATATTGTATATATATATATAGGTTTTGAAAATTTAATTTTATATCATCTCATCTTACTATCTCTCAGTATGTATACCATAATTATGCTATGAAAAAAATATAAGAATAATAAGAGGTATTTTTCCAGTAAAAATGTATATGTACGAGTAAATATGTCTAAAGAGACTTTTTGGGATTTGGTTGTATGTAATTTATCAAATATTTGACATATGTATTATATGTAGATGTGAGCTATACAGTATTCAAATCGTCAAATAAAAAAGTTTTCCAAACAACGACTTGATTTTGATCAAACAGTTTGTATGGCAGCTATATGCTATACTGGTTCGATATCGGCGGTTTCGCCTAAGAAGCAGCTACTTGATGAGAAAAGGGCATGTGCAAAATGCTGAGCGATAGCGAGTATATACAGGCAGACAGACGGGCATGGCTAAAACGACTCAGCTTGTCACGATGATAATTTAT